AAACAACTATTTCTACAGTTCAATACACTTGACAACAAAACGACGTAGTCTACACACTCTTGTACGGCGTTTCGGTTGCTTCGGCGCGCGGCGTTTCAACAGCGACCGCCACAGCAACCGGCACATCGGCAGGGTCGTCCTTGGCGCTCGACGATGTTTTTTTCTGGTTCCAAATACCCTCGGCCGTGTACAAGGCGAGCGCGACCCAGACGAGAATGAAGCCAATGAGCTTGGTCGACGAGAACGGTTCGTGGTAGACGAGGACGCCGAGGAGGAAGACAAGACTCGGCGAGATGTACTGGAGCATGCCAAGCACGTTGAACTGGATGCGTTGCGCGGCCGAGGCGAAGAGGAGAAGCGGGATCACGGTCACGATACCGCCGCCAATGAGCATCAAGGTCGACTTGGTATCGACGTGACCAAATGCGCCAGTGCCGTTGCACTCGACAACAATCAGATAGATGAACGACGGAATGAGCATGATCGCGGTCTCGAGCATGAGGCCGTTGAGCGAGTTGAGCGGCGCCATCTTCTTGATGCAGCCGTAGATCGAGAAGGACCCCGCGAGCGTAATCGCAACCCACGGAAACTTGGCGTACGCGATCGCAACGACGAGGAGGCCGGCGGCAGCAATCGCGATCGAGACCCACTGCCACTTGCGCAGCTTCTCCTTGAAGACGAGCACGCTCAGAATGACCGTGAGGATCGGCGTCAAAAAATAGCCAAGGCTCGTCTCGACCACATAGCCCGCGTTGATGGCCCAGACGTACGTCATCCAGTTGGTCAAGATGAAGATGCTTGAGAGCGTGTACGTGATGAGGATCTTGCGGTTCGCGACTTCGGTGCGGAACGTCGTCCACTGGCCCGTCAAGCACATGATGAGCGCGAGGAAGACAAAGGACCACACGATGCGGTGGAGCGCGAGCTGGACGGCCGAGATCGCCTCGAGCTCCTTCCAATAGAGCGGGAAGAGGCCCCAGATGACGAAGCACGTCGTGGCGTACAGAACGCCCAAGTTGATGGCCATGTTGTTGTCCCGAGGCAAATTGAAAAGTGAAGAAGTCCACGTCTGATTGCCGCAGGTGCAAGCCAGCTGGCGTCTTTACGGACACGTCGGTGGGACTTGACTGGACGGCGCGCGGGGGTGTGATCGTTTGAGTGCCTCTATCCATTACGGACGCGGTATCCGCCAATCCGAGGCTTGGCTGTACCACACATCTGGCGCGTATCGCAGCACCCGTCTGCGAACGTGTGGTAGAGGATTACTATCTGGACGCCGAAGTCGGATGGAAGCCTGCGACATATTGAACGACGTGGCCAACGGGAGGATCGCGGTGAGGCGAGCCAATGGCGCCACGTCTGCTGACCACGTGAAACCGCCATCTGCTTGGAGGTTGCCACGTCATGGAACAATAAGATCTTGATGCGTGTACTTTTTTTTCTGGATGGTGCCATCCAATTCAAGGCCGCCTTTTTACCGTAGATGATAAGCTTTTCCGGAAATTGGAATGAATTGTCGTCGGGCTCGATTGCTTGGATGAGTCCATCGGTACTGCTTGAAGAACGGACCATGGTCCTGCGAATTTGGTGGTGACGTCTTTGATCAACATAACATAACTGCCCAAAGTTCTGGCCAGCTGCAACGAAAAACATGGTGTTGCCCTCACGGCGACTCGGGCATCGTGTCGACCGCCAAAGTCAACAACGGCGACATAAACGAGTATGCTTTTTTACACGATCATGGACACACAGCATCGACACACACGTCCACGCAAGCATATTATGTTGAACCAGATGTGTGGACCCAACCTTCAACCGGTCCGCTGGGACGTCCACTCTTGCAAGATTCTATTTCGCTTCGGAAATACAGATTTCTGGCAGCGCGGGATGGTTTCGACGCATTGCATCTCAAGCCACAGAGGCATCCAGCCATACGCTCTATCCCTACTCCCGTTGCCAAACTCAAAACGTATTGAAACGAACAACCCCTTTGCACCGAGTGCTACATATACGACGCAACTCAGGTTGTGGTATACACTATGGTTGTGGACCCGAGAATGGCTCTGCTGGCCTCATTTTCACCTTATCGCAATGCCACGATGGCGTCGCAAGTCGAGATCCACATCAACTGGTATATATTTTATCTCTATATTCATACGCGCTCGAACGGCGTGACGTCATCGCGCGGCGTCTGGACAACCGCGGCTTCTTTGGGGTGGTTTTTATAGTAGACAAACTCCTCGACCGAGTACATGGCGACGGCGACCCAGACCAGGATAAAGCCAATGAGCTTGGTCATCGAGAACGGTTCGTTGTACAAGACGACGCCAATCACAAACATGACGCTGGGAAAGATGTACTGGAGCATGCCGAGGAGGCTGATCGAGATGCGCTGGGCGGCCGACGCAAAGAGGAGAAGCGGAATGATCGTGCACACGCCGCAACCCACGAGTAAAAAGTTGTCGACGACCGAGACGCGACCCAACGCGCCCGTGCCTTGGATCTCGAGCACGACAAGGTACACGATCGCGGGCGGGAACAAGATGGCTGTTTCCAGCGTGAGGCCGTAGAGCGCGTTGAGCGGCGCTTGCTTCTTGGCGACGCTGTAGATCGAGAACGTGATTGCGAGCGAGAGGGCGACCCACGGAAACGTGCCATTGTCGATCGCACAGACAAGGACGCCGCTCGTCGCCAACGCGATCGAGATCCACTGCCAGACACGGGGCCGCTCCTTGAAGAGCGCAACGCCAAAGAGTACGTTGAAGAGCGGCGTGATAAAGTACCCGAGGCTCGTCTCGACAATGAAGCCGGCGTTGACCGCCCAAATGTCGAGCGCCCAATTCGCAAAGACAAAGATACTCGCGATCGTGTAGATGACAATGATGCGCGACCCGCGGGCGTGCGCTCGAAAGTCGGACCAGCGACCAGTGCCAACCAAAATGAGCACGAGGATCAAAAGCGACCAGACGATACGATGCAGTGCGAGCTGGACGGCCGGAATCGACTCGACTTGCTTCCAGTAGATGGGCATGAAGCCCCAGAAGAGAAACGCGAGCACGCCGTGGAGGATGCCAGTGCGCATGGTGGATGCAATTGAAAAGTGACTGCGTGGGTGCTGTCGCCATGTAGGGGTAGGGTACAAAACCACTGGTGATTGCGTACCAGTGCCAAAAAGGCCCTGCCCACTCGCATAAACAGGCAAAGAAACTAAATATGGGCACTGCGTGTCGTTGTGTGCGAGGAACGATGGCGGGCCCGCAAGCGCGACCATCCTAGCGCCAGGCAAGGCCGCGGCGGCCAGTGCCAAAGCGCGGCCACCTGGTGAAAGCTCGTGGTGTGCAATCGCGACACGACAAGGCCTCGTCCCACAGTCTCAAGCGGGTGCCAACAGCTGCTCTCAAGTCCAACTTCAAGGGCACGATTGGTATCGTGGGTAGTCGCGTTGGCGCCGGCCAGCCGTTCATTCGATTGTTGCGAAATTGAGCACTTGGCCGAAGCTGCACATGCTGCATCAAGGTACCAACAACGTAGTGCCAGACCATCGCTCTGCACCGAGGAACACCACGAGAATTCGGCTCTGGTACACTTCGAAGGTTGCTGCTGAACGCTTGCACCATCATGTGCCTGGCGTCAGCGTTGAATCGGGAGGCATCTTGAAGGCCCGAGCAGTGAATTCGCTGGGAAGAACCATATTGGTGATGCAGAGCTTGTCCTTTCCGCTGTTGGAAAATAAGTGTACATGGTCGTGTAAATATCTTTCACGAATGGCCATCGCGGTCGTAGGTATCTCGTGTTGTCAAAGGAGTCGGTAAAGCTTTCATGTTAAGTGCTCTAGTCGTGTACTAAACTTGAAACGGCAAGCATCCGGACCGAGTCGTGTTGTCAGTGCCAAGGTTCAAGAGGCTAGACTCCATAGGTGGGCTACACCTACCGAGTCTTTCGTCTGCGCAAGCGAGGCAGCTAACGCGCCGCCAAGGATTCTCAAATAATACAGCCTTAGAGGGACGAGCGTCTGTAGTGGGCAATCCGGACGTTTGCATTTGGCCGTTCTTCCGTCAGACTCCACGTCCCAAGTGCATTGATTGAAGACCCATCGATCGCTTCCAACGAACCGATTGAGAAAGAAAATTAAACCAAGTTGTCCAATAGTACAATATTTATATATTCATTTACAATTCACGCAAGTTAGACGCGCTCATAGACGGCCTCATCACCCCGCGGCGACTCGACAGCCGCTGGCTTGGCCACTTGTTGCTGCTGCTTTTGATATACAAAACCCTCGACCGAGTAGACGGCGAGCGCCACCCAGACAAAGATAAACCCAATGAGCTTCACGAGCGAGAACGCCTCGCTGTACACGGCAACGCCCATGATGAACATGAGGCTCGGCGCAATGTACTGCAGCATGCCGAGGAGGCTGAACGGGATCTTCTGCGCTGCCGACGCGTACATCAAGAGTGGAATCACGGTCACGACACCCGCACCAACGGTCAAAACGTTGGCGGTCGTGCTGACGTGCAAGAAGGCGCCGTTGCCCTGAGCTTGGACGACCGAGAGGTAGATGACGGCCGGCACAAAGAGGATGCCCGTCTCGACCGTCATGCCGTGGAGAGCGTTGAGCGGCGCTTGCTTTTTGACGACACCATAGATCGAGAAGGAAACCGCGAGCGTGAGCGCGACCCACGGAAACTTGCCGTACGC